TCAAAAAATGCACGTTCATTTACATATACGATTACGGTTAAGGTCCGAGCAGCGAACGAATTTTTTGAAACATGCAAATTTTCATTTCATTGGAAAATTGAAAGTATTGCTCGAACGGTCGTTTTTCAAAGAATCCATGTTCATTTGCATACACAGTTGGGTTCAGGTCCGAGCTGCTAGCGATTTTTCGGTCCAGGAGCTGCTTGAGGCCGTGGTTGGGGAGCTAGAGAGCTGAGTTTAAAATTTTTATCTCGCATGTGCACAGAGAATATCCCTGCAAAATTTTAGCTTTCTACGTTGCCTGGTTCGCGAAATCGTTTCCCGCCAACAAATTTCTTTGGGGGTCCCGCATATGGGGTCTAGGCGCGTATGGGGAAAGATCTCAAAACAGGAGGATGACACACGGGGTAGGAACATATATCCAAAGTTTCAGCCTCCCAGCTTTCCTGGCTGCTGAGATGAAAGTGTGTGACAAAATGCACTCGCTTTCCGAACACACACACACATACACACACACACGCACACACACACACACATACTGACAGCCTCTCGACAATATGCGTCTTTGCTGGCTGTAGCAGCGCTATAGCGCTGCACAGCAAAAACGTATATTGCAACAACCCTGCCTGTGTATGTGTGCGCGTATGTGTTTGTGTGTGTGTTCATCTGTCCGAGTATTTCAATCCAGCAACCAAGCAAGCTCTTGCGCCATAATTTTGCCGGTTGGTTCCCCGACCAAGTGACACCCCAGGACTGCAGCACCAACTCTCAAGCACATCTGGGCCTTACATGCGAGTGCATGAAAATTTCGGCGGAAAAATTGCTAACTCGGAAACGAGAAAAGCTAGATGGCTGAAATTTCGAGGTTATGTCCCCCGCCCATGTAGAAATTAAAAATTTCAAATTCAGCCCTCAGACATGCGTGGTTCCCGCGTAGACCCCGTGAGGGTTCCTGGCGGGAAAATCGCTAACTTGGGAACCAGAAGAGCTGGGAGGCCGAAGTTTTAAGAGGATGTTCCCTCCCATACGCAACTTAAAGTTGCCAAATCGAGCTACCAGCCATGCGTGGTTCTCACATACGGCCCGTGAAAACTTTTGGCGTCAAGAATTGTTAACTCAGGAACCAGGAAAGCTGGGAAGCTGAAATTTCAGGGATATGTTCCCAGCCCTTGTAAAAGTTTAAGATCAAATTCAGCTCCCAGATATACGTGGTTCCCACATATGGCCACGTGAAAATTTTGACGGGAAAATTGCTAACTCGGTAATCAGAAAAGCTGAAAAGCTGGAATTTTAGAAGAATATTCCCCGTCCAAATACTACTTAGAGGTTTTATATTCGGCCTCCAGATACTCGTGTACGAGTATCTGGAGGCTGAACATGAAACCTTGGCGGGAAAACTGCTCGTTGAATAGCCAAGTAATTTTCAACCCAGGCTGGAACGCACT